GTTCAGCAGTAAATCAGAGTTCTCCTTCCTTGAGTCCGCAGTCCTGTGTATGGTTTACCCGGGAATAAACCTCACTATACACAGTTGGGGAAGTTACTTTATTGATCGATTGCTTTTGGTTATTTATAGTCCGCCTTTGTTGCCGGAGACTCCAGGCAAGATCACGTCGTGTAAATGAAGTACGGTCAACAGGAGGAACGAAGTCGGAGTCCAGTGGCACCTCTAAGACCAGCAAAGTTTTATTCTAGGTATACGCTTTCGTGCGCATGCAAGCTTCTGCACCTGGAGAAGTGTGCGTGCATATAAAAGCTTACACCTAGAATAAAACCTTGCTGGTCTTAGAGGTGCCGCTGGACTCCGACTTTATTCCGATGCTTCGACCTGATGTGGCCACCCACCTGAATCAGCCAACAGAATGGTATGTCCAGTGAGCAATACAGAACGTTTTGGGCTACAGAAATCAGAAGACAAACAGAAGCCTGAAACAGATTTGAAACAAAGCATGAGCTCATAAACATGATGTGCTAAGCAGTGTAGAAACTACCTAGTCTGAAGTACAGTCAGGGGTCATTTCCTGCGGGAGGGCACAGGAGCGGAGCTCCGGCAGTAAAGAGCCCAGGGGGCGGGCACATGGAACAAGCCCCACCCCCTGCTCCCAGCAGCCCTCAGTCAGAGCAAGAAGCAGCCAGGTAAGTTGCAGAGCCCCCCCGGTCCAAAACAGTCCAGTGGCACCTTTAAGACCAAGTTTTATTCAGGTACAAGCCCTCCCCCCTCTGCGAGGATAGATCTGCACGTGCCCCCCCCCCCCCAATAGCTAGCAATCCAAAACAGTCCAGTGGAGCCTGAGCGGTGGGTGTTGCCGTCTGACACACTTCCGGTGATGTCAGGGGGTGTGGCATGTGCAAATAAGTTGTGCTAATGAGCTCCTGCACCTCTTTTTCTACAAAATGACCCCTGATAGTTACAATGTTAGGTAGCAATACAGTGGTGTTGGTCACAGTTCCTATCACTTCTGAGTAAATATGAGTAAGACTTGGGGTGGGGAGTCCTGTGTGGTCTCAGGTAAGGAGCACTGGATCTTCCATAACAGGGACTTAGTTTCTGGTGGGGTAGCTGTGTTGAGACGCTGAACTGCAGGCTGTGGAAGGTCAATAGATCAGCAGTTCGAGACCCGAGTGCCGCATGGCGGAGTGAGCTTCCATCTCTAGTTCCAGCTCCTGCCAACCTAGCATTTCGAAAGCAAGAAATTGCAAGTCGATAAATAGGTACCCCTTCAGTGGGAAGGTCACAGCGTTCCGTGCACCTTAGCGTCTAGTCATGCCGGTCGCATGACCACGGAAACGTCTTTGGACACCGCTGGCTCTTCGGCTTTGAAACGGAGATGAGCACCGCAACCCTAGAGTTGGATTCGACTGGCTTTCGAGCAAGGGAAACCTTTACCTTTAACCCTAACACACGGTCACTTTCACTTTATCATGAGGCTTTCATCGGGCCCTTATCTGTTTTTTAACTGTCTTTCTAATAAATGCACGTCTTTTTGTCTATAACAATTATACACTAGGTTTTTAATATTGGCCCTTTATCAGGCTTTATTCTTACCCTGGTGGTTCTGGACTCCAGGTATTGTGTCAAGTTTGTTTTCCCCTCCCTGTGTCTTACTGGCAGGAGCAAGGAGCCGTGAAGGATGCATGAAGCCCCGGGGAAGGGTTGGTCATCTTAACTCGGCCTTCTCTTTCCTTCTCTCCCCTCGCTCTCTCCCCAAAGAGCCAGTTTGGTGTAGACTCTAATCTGGGAGAACCGGGTTCAATTCCCCACTCCTCCACTCGCAACTGCTGGATGACCTTGGGCCAGCCATAGTTCTGGCACAGCTGTTCTTGAAAAAGAGCAGTTTCTGTCAGAGCTCTCTCAGCCCCGCCTACCTCACAGGGTGTCTGTCGTGGGGAGGGGGAGGGAAAGGAGTTTGTCAGCCGCTCTGAGACTCCCTTGGGTAGTGAAGGGCGGGGTATAGATCCAATCTCCTCTTCTCTTCTTCTTCTTGTTATTTTTTGCTATCAGTGCTTGAAGCTCCTTTTAAAAAAAGCTAACTCAGATGCATTCTACACCCAGTGCCAAGTTCAGCCTCTTGTGTAGGTCTTTTATAGAATGATAAAACGCAGCCGCCGTACTCTTAATTCTTTACAGGCTGTGTAAAAAAAAAAAAAAAGGTGCAGCTAAGAACTAAGAAGAGGAAGGCCGGAGTAGTCGGGGACAGAGGGCGTGAGGAGCAGAGGTGCATGCTGGGATACAGGAATCCCACCCCAGCAGAGACGTGTGCCCCGTTAGCTATTTTTAGGCAGCTGGCAATGACCTGCTCCTAGTTGGTCCCTGTGGTTTGGTCTGGCCCCGCTGATGGCCCCTGGGTTTTGGCCACTGTGTGACACAGAGGGTTGGACTGGATGGGCCATTGGCCTAATCCAACATGGCTTCCCTTATGTTCTTATATGGAGCAGAGGTCCATTAGTGGCTATTAGCCACAAGGTATAGATGGAACACTATGTCTTGGGCAGCGATGCTTTGCATTCTTGGTGCTTGGGGGGCAGCAGTGGGAGGGCTTCTGGAGTTCTGGTCCCACCGGTGGACCTCCGGATGGCCCCTGGGTTTTGGATACTGTGTCACACAGTGTTGGACTGGATGGGCCATTGGCCTGATCCAACATAGCTGATCTCATGTTCTTATGTCTGGGGCAGTGATGCTCTGTTTTCTTGGTGCTTGGAGGGCAACAGTGGGAGGGCTTCTGGAGTTCTGGCCCCGCTGGTGGACCTCCTGATGGCCCCTGGTGTTTTTGGCTACTGTGCGGCACAGAATGTTGGACTGGATGGGCCATTGGCCTGATTCCAACATGGCTGCTCTTATGTTCTTATGTCTGGGGCGAGTGATGCTCTGTGTTCTTGGTGCTTGGGGGGGGCAAGAGTGGGAGGGCTCCTGGAGTTCTGGCCCCGCTGGGGGACCTCCTGATGGCCCCTGGGTTTTGGCCACCGTGTGACACAGAGTGTTGGACTACAGGGGCCATTGGCCTGATCCAACATGGCTCCTCTCATGTTCTTATGCCTCCATGGAGACAGTGTCGGAGCAGGCGGTCTCGTCTGGTGCAGACCCCATCCTCCGCCATCGCAGCAGGATCCCGAGAGAAGCAGGGTGTTAAATATAGTTGCACTCTCAAAATTCAAGAGTGTTTGTATTTAACTATTTCGTTCATTCACTTGTACCCTGCCTTCCTCTCCAACGGGGACCCAGAACGGCTTACATTGTTCTCCTCTCCATTTTGTCCACACGACAACCCCGTGAAGTAAGTCAGGCTGAGAGAGTGTGACTGGCCCCAGGTCGCCCGACGCACTTCCACGACACAAGCGGGGATTCGAACCTGGGTCTTCTGGGCACTAGCCTGACTCTCTTAACCACTACGCCCACACTGGCTCTTCCTGTTCTTACTCCCAGAGTTGCGAGGGGGGCCATCGTTCCTTCTTGGCACAGCCAGTCTCTTCCCGCTACCACCCATCCGGCAGCCTAAAATCTGCCCTCGTCATCTCGGTGCCCCTGGAACGGCTGGCAGGTTGCTCAACCCTGAAAAAATGAATGCTGAGCAAGACGTTTCGAGGGTTCTGCTCCATCCCGGAGGCTCTTGGGCGGATCCCTGCACCCGTTGGTCTCGGGCAGATCGAAATCAAGTTGTGCTGGCAACCGATAAGGGCAGTTTGGCAAACACCAATAAAGATCGAGCTGTTAAGGCGAGAGAGCAAATAACGTCGTCCCCGGCTGTGCTTTGTATACAGAGAACAGGCAGGGTAGAAGTGCTTGAGAGAGCACATTTGTATTCCGGTGTGTAGCAGTTGCATTCCTAGGGGTATTTCCTAGGTCAGAAGTGAAGTGTTTTTTTCTTTTCCTTTTGGGATCTTCAAGAGCCCTGATTCAGGTTTCTGGCACTCATGGTTCTACGAAGATAATGAAAGAAGAAGAGGCAGGGCTTCTGGAAACCTCCTTATACCCTTTCCGAGATATTTTTACAACGGTCTTTAAACAGCTTTAAACGCTCCACAGTCCCCTGAGGTACCTGTGGGGGTGCTATGGTGCCAGCCGATACCTTTATTGGCGCCCGCCACATGTTTCTAGAAAGCGAGTGAAGATTTGATTGGCCATGCGGGTTTTTGGAAATGTCGCTGTGGCAGCAGCTGCCAGCACACCGCAAGGATTTACACTGGGTGCCTGAAAGTCGGCCGCGGCAGCCATTTTGTGGCTGGCGCTGCCTCCTGCTGCGGCAGCCATTTTGGGGCTGGGCCGACCACTCGGTGTCAGAAGTCCAAAGGTGCCCGTGGGCTGAAAAAGGTTGGGGAAACCCGTCTTCGGGGAAACCCTGGAAAATGTAGTTCTGTGATGGCAATAAAGCCGCCCTGAGATCTTTCCGAACCTGAAAACTGGGAAGTTGGTTCCCAGTTCCTTAGTATTCCAGTTCCTTAACCTTCCTTTCTCCCGTGAGGGGAATCCCGTTTTGCAGCAGCTAGTGCCAAATTCAGGCTTTGCATTGGGGAAGGACCGCTTGCAGGGCAGAGTCCCCTGCATGTGTGATTTGTGGCGGTCCAAATCTTATTTTGGAGGGTTGCAGAGCTCTTTAAATACCATCAATATTGGAAGTGGGATTCACAGAAGGAACTAGTGGAAGAAACTGCAGTCAAGGCATAGCTGGCTTATGGTGACAGTGTAGAGTTGTCAAGGGAA